TTTATTATAAATAAAGTTTAATTCCCGTTGAACCGGTTCAAAAACCGGTTCACGTATTTGTTTCGGTTCGGTTCGAGTTCCGGTTCAGCACAAAAAAAACGTTCCGGACTCCGGTTCACGGTTCGGAAAAACAAGCCGGTTCGTTCCGGTTTTTGTTCCGGTTCGGGTTCGGTTCAAACCCTTGTTTATAACAATTCTTGTAAAAATTCGTCAAAAATTAGAAAAAAAAATCAGCAATTCTTTTTAATTTTTTTTTCAATACGTCAGCCAATTCTCGTTATCAGAAATCATCTTTAGTTCCGGAACGCGTTCCTGTCCAAAAAGGAAGTACCGGAACGACGTTCCGGAGCGTTCCGGCTCGACAACACCACTGTTTAAAACCTATATTTATATAACAAGATTGAACAAATAAGTATCGACTTCCTCCGTTTTGGAGGAGAAAAGATACCACAGGCAAACTGATACAGATTCAAATTTTAATATGGAAACGCTCTTTCTGAATCGTCAGTTTGAATTTGAACGACCTTTATATTATAAGAATACTCAAACTACCTATTTGCTGTCTGTCTAAGTAGATGGAAACGCATAGTCAACTGATGATGTTCTCCTGACTCGGGTGTAGAGGCCGTCTTCGGTTGGAATTGCTTCCTAACATAACCTAACCTAATATAATCTAAGGTTTCGCTAGCATGAGTGGCGAGCTTCTTAAGAGGTCCTGCCATCTTCGATGCTGGATGTGGACTGTGAAGATGGAAAGACCTCTGAAGAAGTTCATCACTCGTGCTAGCGAAACATTAGGGAGCAATAAAAAAACTTTTGGGTGTTTCATTCCCACCAGCCAGTAATACTGGTGGGCGGGCAGTCCCTCCGGACTATGCCGGAAGGTAGGGAGGAAGGCCCTCTTCAGCCTGCTTTCAGGAATAGTGGGAATGGGTGGGTGGTGGGTCGGGTGAGAAAGATGGGACGGACGAAATGAAGACAGAAGACAGTGAAAGGTTATCTGTAGAATATTACTGCCTCAGCATTTGCCTAAGTGATCCAAGGAAACCACAGAAAAACTTGAACCAAGGCAGACGGACCCGGAATTGAACCGGCGTCCTCCCGAATGCTAAGCAATGGTCTAGACCTCTAGGCCATGCCGCTCCAACCGACAACGGCCTTTAGACCTGAATCATGATAGCAACACTTCACAAATCTGAAATTTTAAAACAGTTACCAAATAACAATATTTACGCATCGGTTTTACAAAATAAATCCCATTATTCATTTTAACGAAATCAGAAATTATTTTGTTTTAAGGAAAAAGACATTCTCTTTCGGAATGGGCATATTAAACGTTGGTTCCATGCAAAATACCTGAAATATAACCCGTTTCGTAGCGAAAAGTAGAAGTTAATTTTCTAGTACATGATAAGACAAATTCTGAACTGTAATTTTACACTTTTCAATCTTTTCGACCATCTTTTGGTGATCCCCTAATATAGAAACTCGTTTTCTAAACTGATATTACTGTTTTCCTCACATGGATAACTTAATACGCAGTTATGTATGTGAATAAAATGCTTGAGTTGACACAAAACCACTTTGGATGTTTGATTTCCAGTTCAAGGACCTTAACTGGATCAACTGACACCGTGTCTTCACATGGTACACATGTCCTCGAAATAATGACTACATAAATAGTTGGATGGGTAAAGGCCGTCCGCGCAATTTATTATCGGAAAAGCAATCACTCAGATCGTACATATATGATGGACGAGAATTTAACTCTGCCCTGTTTGCAAACTGTTAAAAGATTAATGCGGCATAATATGAGACTCATTACCAAACTAATTTGCGTATTTTTCCCTTTTTTTTTCTTCTTTCAGATACATTCATCGGGCACCGAAGTTGCTTAAAATCCAAACAGAGGTTTTCAACGTTGTCCTGCCGAATCTCAAAATCTTGTAAGTTGAAAAGAAAAACATAATTTTTTAATTTGAAATGGAAACCCCTTATAAGATACATATATACAAAACTTCATGATTGAACTTATTATCTCTCTATCTATCTATATTTTATCACTTCTCTAATTAGGTAAGTTCCCCCTTTTCAAATATTTATTTATTGAATGTCTGAAAAGGAAAAGTTTCATTCAGTTCTTTGAACGATATTGACAGGTACAATCAATTCCATTTACATGTATGATGCGAATGAGACGTCATAAGTATTGACTTTATTTATCTAAATTTAAATTAAAGATTAATAAAATATGAAATAATTTACTGTACCATTTTCCACTTTGCATTAATTAAATCATAATTTTCCGACATTTATTTTCTACAAATTTCAATGTCCATCGTCAGTTGGAGCTGCTTCTTAACGTTTCGCACATCTAGCATGGGAGATGACACGCGAGGAAGCGAAACGTTAGGAAATTACTCCAACCGACGACGGCCTGTAGACCAGAATCAAGAGAGTATCAGTTTTCCAACTGGCCGCGAAAGTTTTCACCAATTTTTCGTATATATTGTTGCAGAAGAATTGTCAACACCGGTTTAGAAGAAATGGTTCAGCTAAGTAATTTAACAACACCAGTTCTGCATATGATGTAAGTACAAATACGTCACTTTTACGATAGGATACACACAATAACCCCATATCATCATCATAAGGTCGTCAGTCCTAAGACTGGTTGGTCACGCACCTCGACTCTTTCCTATCCTGAACTAATCTTCGCATTTCCCTAAAACTAGAACAACCCACATCTTTAACCATTTACAAACATTAATGTAATCTAGTTCTATTTCTACCCCTCCTAACACCCGTTTCTGCCTCTAATAAGTCTCTGACTTGACCTTCATGCCTGAGAAGGTCAACTTATCTCGCCTATTTCAATAACACAATACCTCCCACTAAGATTAAATATATAATACTTGCAGTTTAATTAAATATTTCGGTATCAAGTAAATACAAGTATGTAAAGACTTAATACAAATTTAATGCGAGTTACTTATTGTTACAGAGATTTGGAAAACAATAATATAAAACGAATAAATCCCAGACAAGTCAGTCATGTGAAAGCAGAACAGTTGTAAGTATTTACTTTCTTATTCTAATTATTTTAATATCTCATAAAAAATTACGAAATAATGGAGTATATAACATGGGTGAGAGCAACGTCAACACATGGTAACTTCATTCATTAAAAAAATATTCATATAAATCATAGAAAGCGAATATCGTTAAATTCCAGACAAATATTTCTCTAATGATAATGATGAGGATTGAAAAAACCGATAAGCAAAACTCAATCAGAAGTAAACATTAGTCAGCAAATCGATGTAATATTTCAAAGGTGGGTAATATTCGACTCTCGAAAGTCCTAATGTCTTTTTTTTGATCCCCCACTTTGCTACCCTAAAGGTCATCAGACAGCAAATACCTACACTGATTCTGTAGCCAAAGCAATACCGTTCTGTGAAAGAAGAAATTTTACCCTATTCCTTTTGAAAGAAAATTAAGACGACTCGTAGGTTGTCGGTCGCAAAAGTTATAACTCATCTAACGCGAAGGTAGTATAGAATACTTTGTAGAAGATTCACAAGGCCTTTATAAATAATGCATGCACTTACGATTAGATGACAATTTAAATAGCAATCAGTCTATTTCCTAAGGGGTTACTAGTTTTTCTTTCTTTTTCCATAATATAATGATCATGTTTAATTGCAACAACTCCAAAAAGAATTTCGTTATAACAAATTAAATATTAAACATAGAATATTATATTTTATCTATCAACTGAACAAACTATAAAATAACTTGTGTATACACTTATTTTCATAATTATAATAATAATACAGGATATAATTTAATTAAATTTCAAGTTCGTATACGGTTTATTCCAAAATGAAATTCATAATACGCTTTTTATCTATTAAGTTGTTTCAAACCGAATATAGGAATAAAATACGATCAGAGTGATCAAAATTGTTAATTAATGATTTATATTATACCAGATTTATTTATTTACAGTTTCGGGTACTCATTAAAAGGCGAGCTCTAATGAAAATATTTAATTTGACCGCTCAAATTAAATGAAATAGTTATTATAGAAACAATAAATGTAATTTGTAACTAAAACGTTTGTGTTTTCATTATTTATTACGAAACTGTAAGAATTAAGAGCCTCATCGTTTCATTTTCTTTCCAATCTTTACTATTATAAAATTTTGTTTCATCAAATCCATCATTAAACAACATTGTAAAAGCTTCAACATTAATAAAAATTGGTGCAACATAAAATTTTGTTGGCCTGTGAATTGTTAGACGAGAAAATGAAATCGGTACTACCCTCGAGTTCCTTTTTTAGTTTATTGCTGTTTGAACTGTTAAGAGAAATATCGCTTTATTGTAAATGAGATATTTATGTTCTACTGTTTTGCGATAAGCATATATTGAATCAAGTACCTAATGGGTTATATTGCGAACATACAGCTTTCATGTTCGGTATACGCAATAATGTTTTTAATGTTTTACTGTAACTGTTTTACAGTTTTTAAAATTTCATTTCCTATACAAAAATCAATAATTCCTTGAAGCTATCGGATTTCATTCAATGCGAATTCAATTGCTAATGGATAATTGAATTTGATGTTCTAAAGTTTGTACTCCCGGTTGCCACTAGCTACTCAACGTTTAATAGAGATAATAAACCGAGATTGCCCCAATGAGTGAACAACGGCGACCGCTGAGACCAATGACTTTTGTCTTGTGCTCGCTAATTAGTTGCAAAGTTGTTAACTTCATTGCGTCGAATTTTCGTTAGATTTGCGTACGCACGTTAAAATTTGACTCTTAACGCCAAAAAAAAAAGAGATAACTTCAGAAATAAAACAACAAGAAGCAAAACTACAAGTACCGTGTTTTTATACTAATTGTAGTCATTAAGATGTTTCATTCAAGCATCTTAAGCCGACCCTGTTCATCTTCCGGCAACTTTTCAACTTTACATTTTTATGTATCGATCCGTCAACAATCTTAATACAAACATTTTTCAGTCTCCTACGTGAATTCGCCAACAACCCTTAACTTCGTACCTACTCTAGAAACGTAAATATGAATCATTTTCAAGGAAGGATTCCATTCTAACCTTAGAAAAGTCCTTCCAATTCATGATATCGGTTTCAAAGTGTCAGTTGACTGCTTTCTAACAAAGATTTTATTCATACCTTCTTGCAAGGTTACACTTTTTTTTATTGGGTCGGTACAACAAGGAAAATTACCTATTTATTTATAGATCGTAAAGTTCGCCTTCATAGATACATTTACAAATGGTATTTTTATTATAAAAAGTTCGCAAATTTTGGCTCTTTTTAGGTCTAGTATATGAATACAAGTCTCCCAGAGCTGATAACATTTAAATAAAATCAATCGACAATAACTTTGGAATAACATACGAGTTTAGCTGTTGAAAACTAACCATCGATCAGGTCGAAAGAATATGATCAAGTGCATTGAAATAATTTAATTTCATCATATTATTTTTATCAAAAATGTTTTATCGTATTAGCACCATCGACAGCTTGGATTACACTTTATTTCTTTAGAGAATATACCACAGAATTCCAGATCTAAAGTAACAAATAGGAACAAATAGGTATTTACTTAGGTATTACATTAACCGATGACTAACAATAAATCTATTCCCAAGTGAGAACATCATCAATTGTTGAGCAAATGCCGCTAGCTTAAGTAAATCTCGAAATGAAGAGTATTACGTAGATGTCTGGACCGAATTCATTCTATCGAACTTTGTTAATACCTATAACAGGATTGTGTGGATTAGCAACCACCAAACAATTCGATTAAATAGTTACTAGTTAAACATAGTAGGTACCTAATATGGGAAAAGAAATATACTTAAAAATATATAGGATCTAGATACAAAGATGTAAGAGTTACATTTGGTTATATCGAAGAAGCGATTGAAATTTATTAAACTATATTTAAACCAGGGTAAATTCTTATTTTTCCTAAACAACGGTTTCCATTTACAATAGGTAGCTCTCTCAATCCAATGTATTAAATAACTTTAAGAAAATAAATAATGTACAATAAGAATATTACAAACAACGAACATAATTGTAAGTAACAGAGAGCGGTTCTTTCAATAACCTGGATTCGTGAAAGGAATTTTTATTTGTCGATATAATTTCACATGTCAATATGTAGTTTTTCTTTATTCTGGGAACGAGTTATTTCGTGTACGTGTGAAGAAATGTTGAATATAAAATATTCGATATATAACGTATGCGACGTATAACGTAGATAACACAAATTACAAATGGTAAATAACGAAGCATGGAAGTTTGTTGAGCATATCCCTTGATTCATAAGGAGAATTAGGAAGTACTTAAAGTATTTTACTAATAGTTAGACGCTTTTGCAAATAGATCAAATGCCAAAAAGTCTTTACCGCTTATTAGCTAGGATAAACCAACTAGATAATAGTTATAGTAAGATACTTTCCAATATTGAAAGATCTTATGTTTATCATCACTAGGAAAGTTAAAATTCCGAATATCTCAAAGAGCAAAAGTCACACTGTTTATCGTGTTTCACTTGATGATTGATTACTAGTGTCCGACCGAAACTGGCTTTTACGACCGAAACCGAAACCGAAACCGAATTTCGGCAATGGTCTCAGTTTCGGCCGAAACCGAAACCGAAACCGAAACCGAAACTTCCTTATAAGGATCATGTTTTGAGAGAAAAATAAAGAAAACGTTATTATAATCAGTCAGTTTTATTTTTTTATCTTTAATCACATAGCTCTGGAGTCATTTTAGTGATAATCAAATCAAAATCAACATTACAACCCCTCATTTAAGGAAATACTTTAATTGCGCCTTAAAAATACCTAAAATAGGTGAGATGTTTATTTGAGTAAATATAGTATACTTCGCTTGGATAGAATTTATCGCGCCGAACATGACCGAGCAGAGCGCGAGAACTCCCGAAAGCAGTTTTGGTTTCGGTCGTAGTTTCGGCAGGTTTGCCGCCGAAACCGAAACTAAACCGAAACTTGTTTTTTTGCCGAAACTCGACCGAAACCTAAACCGAAAACTTTCGGTCGGACACTATTGATTACCCTTATATCTGTGACATAAATATACAATAGTCATTGTAATTTCTCTTTGTGGAACTTTCCTATTTACTCACAACGTTTCTTAGTTGAAATAGTGTTCTAGGTAAAAAAACTTTTTTCTCATCGTTGATGATCAATTTCAGAAGTTGCGTAGGTGCAACAAATAGATGCAATGTACAAAAAGACTAGCCTTTATTTCGTAGATGGATTGACTATGTATTAGCATCACGTCTATATGGTTTTATAACATGGCTATAAAGATTATAATAATCCACAGAGTTTAGAGAATTATTAAAGATGCGAATACCTTAGCGGCATACAAACAACATTAACAAACACGCGAAGACGGTTGATAAATTGTGCGATTTTGATGTTAACGTATACTTCCGGGGCCCGCCGTTTTGTTGTGGCTTTGGGGATTATCTCACCCCATGTTCTGTAAATCGCGTGACCTGGAAGCCTATTTCGAGATTTTCCTTAAACGTATCTAAGCAATTAAACATTAAACCAAGAGTTACGATGGAACACCAGAAGTATCCATAAAATTATTAAAACGTCTAATTTACCACACAATTTTGATAACACCGACATAAAATTTTTATTTTTACCGACATCTACTAATAATTATTATAATTTATGAAAATATAATTAGATCAAAACCAAAAATTGGATTTCTGTTTTGTTTCAGGACACTGGTTAATTTAGAAAGTTTCTACTACTTTGAACCCCATGTATTCAAAAATATCCACAACCTCCAAACAATGTAAGTAATTAAAACTAACTAGTTCTTTATTAAAATTTGTAGCGATCGTTAAAGTATATTGACTTTAATATATGTACCTGCTTAAAAACGTAACCGCTGTAGCGCCTCTTCAAATTCACCCTCCATACTTATGCAGAATTAATTTTTACTATTTAGCCAGGATCAATTTCAGGATCATAAT